ATCCATCATCCATCCATCAGTGACCTTTAGTTTTTAAAATGTTACTCAGTTAGAACCAAATAAATGGTTCATAAACTGAGCTTTTAATACCATAATAACATGGAGGAAGTCATTCATATAGAAATAAAAGTAATAAATGAAATACTTATAAACCAATGGGAAGGAGGAATGTTTATTTGAAGAACCATGGGCCACACTGCAAAAAATGTAATTCTAATTAAGTCATTTTTTTCTTAAAATAAGTGAAATTTTTCTTGAATTGAGGGGGTAAGTGAGACATTTTGCCAACGAAATGAGACAGTTTACACTTAAAATAAGAATAAAACACTGCATTGTCTTATTTCAAGTGCATATTATCTAATTGACTTATTCTAAGAGTAAAAATACTAATTCCATTGGCAAATGATCTTATTTTTCTACTTTAAATTAAGAGTAAATTCACTTAATTTAAGACATTTTCACTTATTTCTAGATCACTTTTGAAGTGCAAGTCAAGACCATAGTCCTAAAAGGGGCGTGGTCTATCTGCATAGATTCTGAAGATTTAGTTCTGAGATCTATGGTTTAGATTTGAGATATGTATTAAGATTTAAACATGAATATATTATTTGAAGATATAGGATGTTTTAGATCTAAAATCTGCGTTCATCACTTCCACCTGAATGTGAGGGGAAAAAGTGTTAAATGGGAAAAAGCTGCACCAAATCACAGAAAAGTGATTAGAAGTTGTTTTCAGCTAAATGTTTACATCCAGGATCATATTTACATAGACCTTCCAGTCCTTCGTTTTCCTTTCTACAACCACAAAACTTTCTGGGTCTTAGATACCTGCTTCAGAAGGATACGGCTCCAACCTAAAGGTCTTTTCTGCAGCTGAAGACTGATGGCTCCTTAGGCAGGTAAAGTTAGGCCATAAGCATGCAGGAATATTGGGTTATTAGAATAATAGATCAGTCATTTTGGAAAGATCTGCTGTTTTGTGTCTAGGATAATAACTGGGACTTTAGCACCATCTGTTGACCAAAACACCCATCACTGAGATCCCAACTTCTAATGGAAACAAACCAGATGTATATTTGACATGAGGTCATCAGAGTCTGGAGTTAATCTTGGTCTAAGAATGTCTTCCCTGCAGAAAAGCTTTCAGTTTGTAGAAATCAACAACTGTTGTTCTGTCAGGCCAACAGGAAGCAGGACACCAACTACACAGTGAGAGAAAATTCCACCTTTGCTTACAGCCTAGTGGAGATCCTCCTGGAGGATGGGAGGATGGGTAGGAGCCGTCTCTATCTGTTTCTTTGCAGACCCATGGATGTTGGTTGGGTTAGTAATTCTTTCTACTTTCCTTTGCAGAAATCGCGTTGGAAACCTGGACTCACAAACGCAAAGGTAGGCCAAGTAATCACTGCAGGTTAAATAGACCTTTTCATATTAAATAGACAACTAAATTAATCCTCACTGAGTTTACTTGGTCTTTCCTGATTCTGAAAATTGTTTTTGCACCGGGCAAGATCAACAGATATAAACTTTGTTATACACTGTCACCATCTGCCAGCAGGTTATATCAGCAGATTGAAAATTTGAAAAATGGTGAATATCCTTGGAATAACATACTGTTTAAACTTTAACTAATACTGTATCAGTATTAGAAAGACAGAGACATCTGAATGTTGTTGTAGTTTTATCTCTCACCTCAATGGACACCAATGTTCAGATTGTTTTCAGAGTAAAACCTTTGTCCCTTTTGGCATCAGACATGGTTTATCACACTTGTTTTTGGACTTTTCCTCTTTGCTTTAGCACCTTTTCAGGGCATAACTGAAAATAGCCAATAGACATCATTAGCCTGGCCTTTCAGTCAGAGAAGGCTCACACTCTCCGGTCTAAAA